TATTGTCATTAGTAACTGATGTCTTCACCTGAGAATTAATTCAGTATACCCTCAAAGAGATGGAAGGAAAACGAGTGTGTATTTTCGCCTTTTTCCAAGTAAAAATTGGACAGTTTACTTGTTTTTCGGCGGTGTCTGGCAACCCAGCAGCAGCGGCAGCAGCAGCATTAGGTCGCCGGGTCCCAACCAGAGACTGTACATGGTCCAAACCCACAGAGGAGCTGCTCAGACACAATGTCCAACACACAACTCGTCAAAGCTGCGGTGCAGCAGAGACTGGCCGCAGCGGCTGAGGAGATCTTCAGCCTGTTCGAACAAACTCTCAGAGACTATGAGCAGGAGCTCTTCCTCTCGAAGCAGCGGATCGAGCAGCAGCAGCAGCAGCAGCAGACACTGAGCCGGTGCCAAGGTAACGACAACTTTCACCTCCACCACCACTTCTCACATGTCTGCAGGAATGTGTCACTTATCTCACTGTCAGTCCGCCACACTGCACACAGAAAGTAGCGCCATTTTGCATCCCCTGTGTGTATCAGGATGCAAAATGGCTGGCCCCATTAAGTCACAGTAATGCTTGTGTTCAGATTTGAGATAAGAATTCAAATAGCTTCTCACTTCAAATCACCTGCCTTGTTTATCTGTTGGGGTAGACATTACATTTGCAGATTCAGTATAATGACTATACCTATTCTCACACTGTACATATTCTGTTTACACTGTGTATATTCGTTTTTATTCCATTTATATTGTTCTGGGGTTTTTTACACTTCCTTATACATATTATTATTATTTTTCTGCCCTTGTGGGAGTGATAAAGGATCATCTTATCTTGTTTTATGTGGACATTTTGACAGTTTATTTCTATTTCATTCATTACATAGTGATCACCAATGATCAGATCCAGAATTGCAGGACAGAAGTAAGTATGGATATTAAAACCTTTATCTTTACCTCCCTAAAAAAGATAGTTTTGCGACATAATCCATTTGAGTGCCTCTGTATCATTAAGAAATAAGTGCTTTAGCATATGTTCGTGCAAAGAAAGGCTGTACTAGTCCAAGGACAGTTATTTTGTGCTGCAAACGCAGGTTTTTACTATTGATATGATTCAAAAGCCATGAGATATTAAAGGCTTTTTAATTTACCACCTTCCCAGGTGCCTCAGATTAGCATAGATTACCAGACTTCCATCTTTTCATGAGCAGACTACATGTAAGAATGGCATCATGCACCAAATTCCAAACACTTTCCATGCCAAATATTACTGGGTTCTTTCTTCGCCCAGGTTCCATCCTTCCAGTTTTTCCTGGAAATCCATTTTGTAGTTTTTGCATAATCCTGCCGAGAACCCAACCAACCAAAAACCCAAAAAACAAACAATCAGGGGTGAAAACATGACCTCATTGGCTGAACTAATAACAATGCAACTTTCTGAGGTATGTTCAACATGTTTCAATACTAATTTTTCCAGTTCTCTGTTGAACATATTGAAATCAGAATATGTTTTTGATTGGACTAAAGCCTACATTTCTTTCCTCTTGTGTGATACTATCCAGGCCCGGTGCAGCTCTCTGTGCAGGATGTGGACATCCCGTTGCAGCAGTACATCTGTGAAAAGAAGACTGACGTGGGCGAGGATGACGAGGAGCCCCTGCATGTTAAAGAGGAACAGGAGGATGAACAGTGGGCCACTCAGGCAGATGAAAAGCAGGATGATGCTGACACCAAAGAGACAATGTTCAATATCATTTATGTGCAGAGAAGTGATGAAGACGGAAGACAGTCGCCATGTCAAAGCCAAGAAGTTGAAAATAGAGGAGACCCTTTGCCCAGCAGCTCATCTGAACAGCTGAGAGCAGAACCCGAGAGAGGCCTCTGTGGTGCGTCAGAGCCGACCAGTGACTGCCAGATGAGCGAAGACAGTGATGATGAGTGGAGAGACGGCAGGCCATCTCTCTCAGGTGTAAAGAAACCACAGCAAGCCGAGGAGCAGATAGAGAGGCCGTACACCTGCAGCGTGTGCAACAAGAATTTCAGGATTAAATCCATCCTGACTCGCCACATGAAGACACACACAGGGGAGAAACCTTACAGCTGCAGTGTCTGCGGCAAAAGCTTCATCCAGCGCTCCTATCTGCACACTCACATGAACTCGCACTCTGGACAGAAACCGCACACGTGTAGTTTCTGCGGCCGAGGATTCACGCAGGTCGGCAACATGAACGCTCACATGCGAATCCACACGGGGGAGAAGCCTCACAGCTGCTCTGACTGTGGCAAGAGTTTCAGAGAGAAAGCAGATCTCATCAAGCACACAATAATACACACTGGAGAGAAGCCGTACTGTTGCACTGTATGTAACATGAGATTCAGTGCCCAGTCCAATCTAACGCGCCACATGAAGACTCACTCAGGGGAGAAGCCATACAGCTGTGCTGCCTGTGGGAAACGATTCATCCGGCGCTCCCATTTAATTATTCACATGAAGACTCATACAGGAGAGAACTCATAAAACCATTAAATCAGCCCCATGACTATATTGAATCACTCCCAGTGTAGGGCATGTCACATTCAGCTCTAAAGACACAGTTACAGTGACAGTGGACGACGACTTAGAGATAATCTCGTTTCTACTTATCATTCCTCAGTTGTTCAGTAGACTTTCTTTCTTTGGAAGTTTATTTTTTGCAACTTTTTAAGATACTGCTGGCCTTTTTTCTGTTTAAAGAGTAATTAAAGTGATAATGCTGTTGTACCTTCAAGAACTTTGAACTTTACATTGGTCTGTATTTACCCGCCGCTGCTGGATCACAAAACCCAAGAAACTGACTGGGGAGGTAAGTAGCTCACATTCCTCAGCTTTAACAAAGAGTTTGTTCTCCACCTGGCAGCAGAGTGCTGACCTAACATGGTATATATGTTCCTCCACGTTTTGGGACAAGATGAAAATGTCGTCCTAGTAAACAAAGACATAGCGATTCAACATGTCCCGCAGGACGTCATTCACTAGAGCTTGAATAATGCTGTTCCTCAGTGAGACCAAAGGTCATGAACAAATATTTGCCAAATATTCAAAACGGCCAAGGTGGCTGTTGATTTCCATCCAACACCCTCTGATTCTGATGAGGAAGTGAAGTTGATCATTTGTTTATCAAATTACAATATAAACTTGTTTAATACTGACCGTCAGACCTTGTTTAACAAAACAGAGACATCGGCTAAGAAACATTGTGAACAATGTTTTTCCTTCATAGATCTTAAATGTATATTATGTTTTAAAATTGTGTGAATGTATCTTTGCTTGAAAAGAAAAGAAAAGACTATATATCCATGAAGTTCAAATATCAGAGGTATTCAAAGAAATACATATGTTTTTGGTTTTAATAGCCTATTTGATATTAGATTTAGAAATCAGATCTATATATTGTTAAATATCTTAAAAGAAAAAAAATGTATTTACTAAATTTGCATTTATGGATCAAAAGATTAATACGTTTATGATCCTGAAAAAAACACCAGTGTCCCATAATTAAATAATTGTTGGGCTTCATTCTGGATTTGTATGATTTTCTCTACAACACTCACAGTGTCTATGTGATGTCAATAAAGTTGATTTTATAAAAAAAATGTGAGCGGAACTGTGCCGGACGTCATTTCCGTTCCGCGAAGAAGTAAATTTGGCGCCCCGGTAGTTTAAACCGCTCACACACCGACAGATGCGGAAACACCGCGAAGATTACTTGAACACGCGTCCGAGCCGCCCGGTACTTTGACGGGAAGTGTCGCTGGATGAGGCCGGTGTGTCAGTGAACGATCTCCGGGTGTTGGAGACGAAGAGTCGCCCTGAATGAAGGAGGCTGATCCGCGGACAGATGAGACTGAGCCGCTCCGTTAGTGAATAACACACACACACACACACACACACACAGAGACTGTGGTTTGATCAGAGTCAACATGAACACAACCAGACTGAAGAAAACCAAGGTGAGTTTCACTCACAGAGAACAACGTGTTCATTCAGGCATATGTAAAGTACACGACCGTGCTCCCAGATCAGGTTTCCAGAGGATTGTCAGGTGTGACTGTAGTAGTATTACAGTACCACAGTGGTGATACAAGTATGAAGCATATACTTCAAATATCCTAAATAAAAAGTACTCAGTAAGTTCGTGTTACATTATGTATGTGTGTATATGTACATGTGTGTAAGTAATGCCATGACACACCATGAATAACCGCCATAACTGCCATTGCTGTTGGTTGAAATTGATTTCAATGAATTATTAAGTGTTTCTATGTTTGGCTGGAAAACATTAGTCACATTACAAGAGCCAAAATGAAGAATACATCCTTTTAAAGGTCTCCTGTTGTGGAGGGTGAGGTTTCCAAGACTGCAGGTTTTATACTTATACAGTGATGGTATCAGAACACTCAGTGAGAAGTGCACACAGCCCATATGAACGCATTTGTCATTGAAAAACATGGAATTCAAAAGCTATTTATCTGGTGTCGTCTAAGAAGAAGAAAGAAGAAATGAAATGTAGACTGTGAGGTTACCAGGTCTTTTCGATCATGAAGCAGGTGTCTGTTTTATATCCTAACTGTGAAGCTGTCTCAACATTCTGTCCGAGGAGAAGTGCACAAAGCTGTATGCAGCAGATGTCCCTTAAAACCACCTGTGAGGACTGTGACGTCACAATGAACTGTTTTAGGATTAAAGCCCAGATTATTTTATATTAATGAAATAAGAAAAGCTAATTTTATAATCAATAAAATAATTAGAATAATGGTGGATTTATGTGTTTCAGTGCTAATATCATAGAAGCAGAGTGGTTTACACCCAGTCCTCTGGTCGGAGCTGCTCCCTCTGTCCTGTCTTAATTTATTTATAATTATTTTACTGTCTTAAATAATAAATGATTTTAATGTGCTGACTTGTTATACAACAAACAAATTGGACATCTATGGTTTCTTTGCTTCAGGTGACTCTTGGAGGACAGAAGAACATCTCATCCTTCTTCTCCTCTCAACACCAAAAGGTAGGATCTCTCTTTCTTTGCTCTTTGTCCCTTATTTCTTCTTGTATTTGACAGAACTGCCAAAACTTTTAAAACCTTGATTCATGCTTGATATCAATACCTAATCGTCTGGAATGGTTTTGTTGAGGGCCAAAAATATATTTCTGATCTGCTGTTACGTTATGAACCATCCAGACCCCTCAGGTCGTATGGAGCAGGTCTGCTCTCTGTCTCCGGAGTCAAAACTAAACACAGAGATGCAGTGTTCAGTTTCTATTCTCCACATTTGTGGAACAAGCTCCCAGAGAACTGCAGGTCTGCTTCAACTCTTAGTTCTTTTAAATCTATGCTGGAAACGTTCCTCTTTGCTGCAACCTTTTGTTAAATCAAATAATTACCCATTCTTTTCACTGTTTTCACACATATATATTTTATTCTGCATTTAACTGTGAATTTCTTTTTCAATGCTCCTTATTTTTTGGTTTGCCATATGTTGCTTTTACAATGTGTCATGATGCCTTTTATATTTTATGTTATGTTGCACATTAAATTGCCTTGTTGTTGAAATGTGCTTTGCAAATAAACTTGCCATGCCTAAGGTCATTGGTGATAACTTACATAGTAATATTATCAGTTCTGTGAATAGGGAATTTAGCTTTTTGATCAAAGGTTAGTTTTATTTTATTTCATCTGTTCTATGTCCTGTTCATTAATAGTTTATTCTTGCTATAACTGACTATTTGGATTTTGTAATGAAACTCAAATTTATATTTGACTGTGTTGCTTTTAGGGTGAGTCACTTTCAGAAAAGATTTCCCTCACGACATTTGCCAAGACTGAACCTCAGATCAAAAATGATGGTTCCGCTCCAGTTAAACTCTACTCCCCAGGAAAGAGGTGCATCCTTGGGGAACTTGACAACCTCCTGCCCTCCTCGCAAGATCTTGTCCTCTCTGTACCAGAGACCCCGACAAGTCAGGTCAGGCTTGCATCCTCCTCTCCCTCCAGAGGGGCAGGTCACCTGAGCCCCCTGCCCAGCAGAGAGGCCACAAGCCTGAGTAATACTGGCCAACTGTCCCCCATCTACCTCAGTTCATACCCCAAAGGGCAGAATATGTGTAGAACAAAGAGGGAAGAGGGATGTCCTGGCTCCATAAAAAGACTCTTCAGTCCCCCTGAAGAGACCCACAATGCCAAGAGACCGAGAACCATCTTCAGCCCCACTGGCAGCAACCTGACAGGATCTGTGATTGGCCATGGGAAGACGCTTCACTTCTCCAACAACCAGTCAGAGTCTCGGTCTGAGAGGTCAGAGGGTCACAGCCGTGGTACTGGAGTGGTCCTTAATGACAGCAGAAACACAACAGTGTCACTGAAGTCAGTGTCATGCCACGGAAATGATCGGGAAGACAGCGATAAGGCTGAGAAAGACTTCACTGTGATAACAGAGCAGAAAGCAGCGACGGTGAAAACCAGCAATAACCCACACACTCGTCTGGACAAGGATACTCACACACTTACTACACCTGTACACAAACCCAGTGCACAAACCATCACAGCTGCACCACAGGCAGAGGCTACAAGAACAGCCATGACATCACCGAGTGGAGACAATGTGCCATCGTCCAATCAAGACCAAGCTGGAGGTACTCTGACTGTATTATACTTACAAAAACTGCATGCTGTTGACAGGCTCGACTATTACAATGTATATGAAGAATATGTGAATTATTTTCAGACATTGTCATATATCAGATTACTGTATCGACACTATGTCAATCATTTGATATTATGATACAAACACTGCTTTAACGTGCAGCTGAAGCTCTAGAGGTAGAGTGGGCCGTCCACTAACCAGAAGGTCGGTGTTTGATCCTTGGGTTGTTAAATCTATAAAAACTCTATATAAAGCTCTATATAAATGCACTCCATCTGCCATCCATCTTATTCTTATCTATATATTTAAACTTTGAATGTTTGTTAATGTTCCACTGCTAACTTTTTAAATAGCAGGGATGACATCGGCGTGTTCTATGGAAGAGAAGTTGGATGACAGCTGGTTTGCAGAGTTTATGGATGATAACGAAGGTTTCGTCCCAGAGGAAAGATCCAGGAAACCCCGGTGAGGAACACATGAACATCCACTCCAGAGTTTATTCAGATTCACAAAACCGATGCACAGCAGATGGTTTAATAAAACCATGAGCATCTGCAATGATAATGTTCCTCTCTGATCCCACAGTAAGGTACCTGATCACGTGATCCTTTCTGGAGGTGTCAACAACCGCTACTGGGTGTTGGATGTTGAGGAGAGGCCTGGTCACAAAACACTGACCATCACATGCTGCAAATCTCTGCATCCAACCGAGACGTGTGTGCTGAAAGACGGATGGTAATGATGCGTGTTAGGACGTCTGCCCTCGTGACAGCGTTATTAACAACCTTGTTTTCAAAATAACGTGCAGCACATTTTCACTTAACTTCCCAGATAAATACATTTTGCATTTATGAGCTTCAATATGTAGAGGAGTGAAATTAAATGTCAGTTAACATACAATTTTTTTCATACTTTTTATTCATACAAATGTAGCTTGATGATTTTTTCTTAACCTGATAACATTTTTTACAGTAATTCAGTATTTTAGATGACGTGCACAAAATGTTAGCAAATTCATTCCCTGTATGTTTCTGTACATGTGCCTGTTTCTATTCTCTCCTTTTCCTAGTATTTTAGTCATTCCTATTCTGTGCATGGGTGTTTTCACATTCATAAACACATGCACCCATGTGTACTGTATATCTTCACTTGTAGGTCTTCATTAAGCCTGATGTGTCCCTGACCTTATATCTAAATAATGATCATTTCCTGGGTGTTTCCAGGGAGATGACGCCTGTTAGTTGCGGGGATGTGGTGCACCTGGAGGGCCTCTCCGATCGTGGCTCCTGGTTGGTGGACCGGGAGCAGGGCTTCCTGGTTTTACTGCCTGATAGCCTGATCTCAGGTACCAGCATCTCCAGCTCCATCCGCTGCATGAGGCGTGCAGTACTGAGCGATATGTTCAAGGTAAAGAGCTTTTAAGTATAATTATAAAGATTTCTTTTTAACTACTTCTGTTGTGCGCTCATTTTGAACTTCAGAACATGAGCTAGATGGTCGTTGATTCATTTGTATTGTTCTTTATATCTCGTATCTTGAAATGGACAGCACACACATAGAA